CTTGCCCAAGGTAGCGTAGCCAAGTTGTGCAAGCCCGAGACTTGTGCCCTTGAATCCACAGTACTTTCCATTACACTCCCCCTGCCGACCCCATTCTTCCCTTCAACTCGCTGTGGAAATGGATCTGGCTCTCAGAGCCTGTCTTAGCTGTTAGGAGTTAACAACTAGCATTTATGTAGCACTTTAAGGTTTGCAAAGTGCTTTACAAAAATTATTTCATTTTATCCGCAACATGAAAACCCTGGGAGGTATTATTATCCCAATTTTACATCTGAGGAAATTAGAAGGAATACCCTAACATGAGCCCTTAGCTCAACCCAGCTTGATATAGGTTTGAGGGGGGACCCTTTGGCCCTGAGGCCACATATGGCCCTGTAATTCCTTAAGTGTGGTCCTTTGACTGAATCCAAACTTCACAGAACAAATCCCCTTAATAAAAGGATTTGGTCTGTAAAACTTGGACTCAGTCAAAAGGCCGTACCCAAGGACATAAAGGTCATGTGTGGCCTCAAGGCCCCATGCCTGGTTATGCTACCTCAGAGCTTGTATGGGCTGAAGAGGCAGTACTTTCTCCAGTAATCCAAGTGCCTGGGTTTGGACCAGAGTGTCTTTCCTTCCTCCAATCAGGATGAGTTAGGAAGGAGGAAATCGCTCAGCAAATAAGCCATTTCCCCAAGAGTGGGCCTCCAGGAACTCCCCATTGCCCTCAGAATCAGATCTAGACTCATCTATTTGGTGTCCAAGGCCCTGAACAGTCCACTGAACCTTATCTTCTATGATTCCCCAACATTTAATTTCTTAATGTATGAGTCATTTGATTCAAAAGAATCCTGGAGACCACTTAATCCAAACCACTTAGGTCCTGAAGGATTAAGTTCAAGGTCACCCAAGTCTGGAAGGGAAAAAAAAAGCCAAGACCTAAATCTAGATCTTCTAACTCCAGTACGACGGTGGGGAGAGTCTCTTTGTACAATAGCATATTACCTATCCAGTGGACCCCTCCATTCCATCCAGGCCAGTCTCATTATTTGCTGAATACACCCTGCATATGCCCAACTCTTCCACTCTGTTCAGAACATTCTCCCACCTGGGGCACTGTTGGCCCATCCTCTCTGCTTATCCACAGTCTGACTATCCTCGAGGGTCCTCCCCACCCCACCCCATTTCACTGACACCAACCCTTCTCCCTTCTCTAAACACTCCCACAATATTTGGGGGTCTATGCCAGTATCCTGGGCATGTCAACCAGATACTAGTTGGTATTGTTACTTATCTTCATCCCCAGTGTGTTTCCTAGACACATTCTAGACTAGATAAACTTCTGCCCTCAGTATAGCTATGATCTTCCATAAAGACTTGGAGCCCCAAAATGGGCAGATATGGGTTTTTTTGGGACTCCCCAGAGGTAGGTGACCTCTGGAGATTTCAAGGACACAGAGATGAGAAGGGGCAGTGAAGAAGGGTGTCAGGGGCTCTGTGTCAGCGCTTCACTTTCCTGTTGTCAATGGAAAAGCTCTCAGCCTCCTCCCAGGCCCTTGCTCTTCCTCACATTAAAATTCCATCGGCCCAAAATTTACGAGCCAAACTTCAACTCAAAGCCACGCGACTGCTGATGGAGAAGGCCCCCCCTTCCTCTCCCACCCCCTCTCCCCTCCTGCACCCATAACTCTCCCGGTAAAGTGGCCTCAATGGCTTCGTCTTTACTGGAAGGCATGAATTATTAAGGGAGGGGGGAAGGGAGGGGACCAAGCCTCCATTACTCCTGTATGATTTAGTGGCGCTGTCCTCAGAACATTAAAAAACAAAAAGTTGAAAAAAAAAAAAAGGAAAACCACTTGGTAGCCCCTCCCTAGATGAAAGCACTTCAGAGCTCAGCCCTCACTGGGCCACGGTCCATTTCAAGGGGATTTATTGCCGGAAAGGCACTTGAATACCAAATAATTTTTTTTTAAAATCTTAACTTTTTAAGAGCTAGAAAATGGGAGGATCTTAAAAAGCGTAGAACTCCTTTTCTGTTTGTGCAATCCTGAAGTGTCCTCCCTCAGAGGATTTTTGGCCCTAATAATCTCCTGGTACATGAGATCTCTTTTCTATTGGGATGCAGGAGCGAGGGCTCTTCCCAAGAATCCAGGGTCATGTGTGTAGCAGGCCCCGTGATAGAGTCTCCTTGGCAGGGCTATAACTTGTATGTAAAAAGGAGATACACAGATCTGAAGATGGTGGTGCCCAGAGACCAGGTCAGGGGCCCAACTGAGAATGACTCTGTGAATGCGTACATTCCTTTGGTTTAATGCCTCCTCTATTCCAATGCTACCACTCCGAAGATGGGGTGGTTTATTAGTTATTACCATCTTAGTTTAGAGGATCCTTTTCAAATGATTGCTGGGTGGGTACAGATCTAGGCAATGAGACACAGAAGTGCCATTTGGAAGAATGGCAAATAAAAGGGAGCTGGGAGAGGTAGATAGTAGCAATAGCGAACATTTACATGGTGCTCGCTACGTGCCAGGCACTGTGCTAAGTAAGCACTTTGCAATTATTATTTCTTTAGATCCTTACAACAACCCTGGGAGATTAGATGCTTTTAATTATCCCCATTTTACAGATGAGGGAACTGAGGCAAATAGAGGTCAACTGTCTTACCCAAGGTTCACACAGCTTATAAGTGTCTGAGGCTAGATTTGAACTCACATCTTCCTGATTCCAGGCCTGGAGCTCTATCCACTGTACCGCCTAGCTGCCTAGGTAAGGTTACAGATTTTTAAACTGGTCAATCCTGCTTATAGAAATCAAAGGTCCCTCTGGCCTCTGGGGGAGTCTTGGCTTCAGGTACGTCACTGCTGTTACCCACACAAGTATCTTGGCAGGACAGGGACTCAGGGCTCCATTTACTGGTGAAAAAGGACAATTTGGGCCCACAATGTTCTCTAACTTCTCCCTTATAAGGAACACAAAGCACTCTTTCCTGAGAGGCTCCATTTAGGAAATAAAAGTCAAGAAAGGCCAGTGGAGGGCTCAGCATCTAAATAAAGGAGGATTCAATTCTACTCCTTAAGAAAGGATGGGGGGCAGCTAGGTAGCACAGTGGACAGAGCACTGGCCCTGGAGTCAGGAGGACCTGAGTTCAAATCTGGCCTCAGATACATAACACTTACTAGCTGTGTGACCCTGGGCAAGTCACTTAACCCCAACTGCCTCACCAAGGGGGAAAAAAAAAAAAGAAAGGATGGGATGGGCCTAGCAGGGCTTATGGAGAGATCTAGGGACAAGAAGAGAAGTCTCTGGTTAGCCTCTCCTGGAGCTTCTACCCACAAAGCCTTGCCCTTTATATATAGATTCTTTTTTTTTTTAAATTTTTTGAGAGGCAGAGTTAAGTGACTTGGCCACAATCACACAGCTAATAAGTGTCTGAGGCTAGACTTAAACTCTGCTCCTCCTCACTCCGGGGCCAGTGCTCTATCCATTGTACCACCTAGCTGTCCCCTATATGTGGACGCTTATCTTGTCGAGGCACAGGAATGAGGATGGCAGTTGAGGAAAGAAAGAGAAAGTTAATAAAGTAGAAAACATGCATTAATTATAAGACGTTAGAATACAGAACACTCCATGTCAGAGCTAGAAGGGACCTCACCTAGTCCATGGCTCTTATTTGACAGACAAAGATTCTGAGACCTGCCCAAGGTCACAGATAGAGGAATAAGCTGGACATTAAGAAAGAGGAAGTAGAGAATGAAAATGTAAGCTTGGAGCGGTGGGGGAAGAGAGAAAAGAAGGGGGAGAGAATCCAGAGAAAGCCAAAAGGAATGGAAATCTAAGAAAGAGGGAAGGGGAGGGAGAAGCTGGAGTGTGTGAGAGTGAGTGAAAGCTGAAGAATTTGATAGATGGTGAGAGGGGGAATGGAAGTGCAGGCCCCAAAGAGCTCCCCAGGGACCAGCCATCACACACTGGCTGATAAGGTAATCTCTTTAAAGGCACTTACTGAACATTCCCTCCTCATCAACTCTGGGCTGACCCTTCCCTGATGCTGGGCCCAGGAAGGGAGATGAGGGTAAGTGGATCAGACCAGTATGAAGAGTCTTTATGCAGCTGATGGTCTTGGCTATTTGTCAATGACAGAGGGTCGTGGACCAATCGTTTTGGGGTCCCATCCCCTTTGGAGTGGCAGAGTGGTGAGGGGACAGTAGGAGTGTACTTATGAGGATTCCCAGACTCTCTCTAACCCAGGCTTACCATACTTTCCCACCGTATTTGGATATCTGGGCCCCCCTCAGGGGCTAGGGGCTGAGCCCAGACCAGATATGTAGGAATCTCTATTGTCGGTTGGGGCCCACTCTGTTGAGGGGCAGGGCCAAAGTTGGGAAGCTATAGAGATTCGTTTCCCAAGGAGCTTTTATCTGACGTGCCAATTACCTTCCAGACTCCACTCTTCCTCAACCCTTCCACCCCCATTTCCCGCCTTTGATATCTCTCCTTCCTGTTCTTCTCATTTCTCCTGGGTCCCCCCCCACCTTCCCTCGATTTCAATCCTCACTTGTCCAGCTGTGCAGGCTTCTTCCTGGTCCTCCCCACTCCCAAGTCTCTCCCCCATCCCCATCCTCTTCCTTTCTCAGGTCACTCCTCTCTGGCCCCTTTTCTTTCCTGTCTAGTCAACAACAGGATCCTGCCTGGATATGAAGGAGCTGAGTCTTCTCCCAAATGCCTCATTCCAGGTTATGCCCACTGTGGCAGGCCCATTCAGGTAAGGATTGCCTGGCCAAGCTGAGCATGGGAAACCCACTGTGGGGCCTACCCCCAAAGCTGACCCCTGTGGCTCGCCTGGGAGATTTTCCCAGGATCCCATGGCCTGAGTCCAATGAGTTCTCCCTGAACCACTGAGGCACCATAGGAAATTTGGGTGTGATCATTTTGTTAATGGGAGAAGTGGCTTTCTAAGTGACCCATCAGGCTCTCCCCGCCCCACCCACCAAGACCTCTGGGCCCCTTTTCCAACACATACATACCTCGACTGCAGATGCTCCAGCTGTACTTGCAGATTCTCACTGTGCTCTATCTGCTCATCTAGGGACCTCTGCAGCTTCCGAGCCTGATTATGGGCTTCATCCAGCTATGGGGTGGAGACAACAGCAATCACCCTGGGCTCAGCTTCCTTCCCGCCCCTCCATAAGATGATGATTCAGGGTTGCTATGAGCAGGCGAAATTCACAGCTCCCTCCACCCAAATCCTCTGCTCTGTCTGCCTTTCCCCTTCCTCTCTGCCTTTCCAAATCTTGCCCATCTTTCAAGGCCTAACCCAAACTCCTCTAAGCAGCCATCTTTGTCCCACCCTACCCCCTCAGCTCACAGCAATCCCTCCTTCCCATGATCTCCTATAGCCTGTAACCCCCTCCCTCACACCCATTTGGTATTCTACATATACTGCCTGGCATCATCATCATCATTTTTAACAAAAACAACCATTAGTAATTACATTAATAATGAGAATTCATATTTTTATAATACATACTATGACTATATTATAACATAACCTGATTTTCTTACAATAGTCCCATGAGGCAGATGGTGCAAAGATTATTTTTCTTTGGAAACTGAGGCTCAGAGAGGTTGTGACTTGCTCAAGGCCACTCACCAATTACAGGTCAAAACTGGAATTTGATGATGTCTACTGTTTAAATGCTCTAATGCTCCTTCCACTACATGAGGTGTCTCTATAGTATTACTGGTTCACTTTTGTAGATGGGAAATCCCTTGAGGGCAGGGGCTGTACCTTCCTTATCTCTGTATCTTGTAGTGTACAGCACAGAGCCCCAGCACTGGGGCTGCACTAATACGTAGTTAGGTGGAGTCAGGAAGCCCTGAGTTCAAATCCTGCCTTCAGACGCTTATTAGCTATGTGACCTAGATTAAGTCACTCAGCCTTTTTCAGTTCCGGTTTCTTCATCTGTAAAATGGAGATGACAATAGCACCTAGCATATAGAATTGCTGGGAGGAGCTAATGAAATAATATATGTAAAGTGTAGCGACCCCTGTCTGACCATTTGATGTTCTAGTGGAGACAGTGCTGGACTTGGAGTCAGGTAAGGCCTGAGTTCAAATCCTTTTTCAGATCCTATCTGGGTGTCCCTGGGCAAATCACTTAACCTATGTCAGCCTCAGCTTTCTCATCTGTAAAATGGGAATAATAATGGCACCCTCTTCCTAGGGTTGTTGGAAGGCTCAAATGAACTAATATATATGCAAAGCACTTTAGAAATTATAAAGCCCTACATAGATACCAGCTATTATCATTATCATTATCATTATCACCAGCACCACTGCCAGGCCACACTCCTGGCCTCTGTCACCTCATCTTCTGCTTGGGCCAGCTCCTTCTTCAGTTCCTCCACCCGCAGCCTCAGCTTCTTGACTTCCCCCTCGTGTTGCTCCACCCGCCGGTTCGCATGGGCCAGTTCCGCCATCTTCTCCTGGTACTGCTTCTTCAGCTTGGTGTGAACGTGCTTGAGGTCTGCCAGTTCCTGGGAAAAAAGGTAGGGGCTGAGGGTGAGATGAGAAGGAGCCCGGGGAGAGATGCTGCCACCTTAGCAGCCAAGACTAGGTGCAGTAGGAAAAGGGCCAGAAGAGGCAGATTATAGTAGCTCTCATTTATGGACCTATTTTTATTAACAAGACCGCCCAACAAAAGTAAAGTGAGGTGAATCCAGAACTTAAATAATGGTCCTGAATCCTCTTCACTTGGATGGCAAGATGCAAATAATGGTGGATAAAAAGCAGGTTTCAAGGGGGCAGCTAGGTGGCGCCGTGGATAGAGCACAGGCCCTGAAGTCAGGAGGACCCAAGTTCAAATCCGGCCTCAGACCAAACACCTGACACTAGCTGTGTGACCCTGGGCAAGTCACTTAACCCCAATTGCCCCCCCAAAAAAAAGGCAGGCTTAGGATGAACTGTGTCCAGTTCTGCCCCTGACACATTCTGGCTCTCTGGGCCTTCTCAGTGATTCAGAAAACTCTTCAAAGGTGCAAGGTGTATAGAAGGTGCTGACCTGCCTCTGCAGAGGAGGTTTTCACATTGGGGGTTCCCTGTATCATGAAAATACAGGTTTAAAAAAAAATCCGCCTGCAAGGCCATCTCTAGTAGAGTGCCCCCGGGATCTGTGCTTGGCTTTATGCTCTGACATGTTTATTTTAAATCAGAACAGGTATTTCATCAGTGTAAGGAGCTCATGATGGACGACTCATTCCACCAAAGCCCAAGAGCACCTTCTCTGCATCTTCTTTAGTCTTAGAGAGCTGCCTGGGGCACTGAGAGTTTAAGGGACTTACTCTGGGTCACACAGCCAGTATGTGCCAGAGGTAAAGACTTGAACCCAGGTCTTCCTGAATGAGGCCACCTCTTTATCCACTATGTCATGATGCCATTCTCATTTAACATTGTTGTCAGTGACTTGGATAGAGGCAAACATAATAATAGTAAAAATGATGATGATGATGATGATGATGATGATAGCTAGCATTTATATAGCACCCACTATGTGCCAGCGGGGTGGCTAGATAGATAGAGCATTGGACCTGGACTCCGGAAGACCTGTGTTCAAATCCTGCCTCAGGCGCATCCTAGCTGTGTGACCCTGGGCAAGTCACTTAACCCTCTTTGCCTCAGTTTCCTTATCTGTAAAATGAACTAGAGAAGGAAATGCCAAAACCTTCCAGTATCTTTGCCAAGAAAACCCCAAATGGGGTCATGAAGAGTCAGTCACAATTGAAAAACAACAATAACAATGTGCCAGGTACTGTGTTAAGCACTTTACAAACACTATCTTGCTTGATCCTTACAACAACCGTAGGAGGTAGGTGCTATTATTATCCCCATTTTACAGTTGAGGAAACTGAGGCAAATGGCAGTTGAGTGACTTCCCCAGGGTCACACAACCAGTACCTGTCTGAGGTTGGATTTGAACCCAGGTCCTCCTAACTCTAGACTCACCACTGTATGCACTAAGCCATCTAAGATGTCTTCATCTGGAATACTCTGTATAGTTCTGAGTGTCATCACTAAGAAGCTGGAGAGCATCCAGAAAAGGGCAATGGGGAGAGTGAAAGCCTTCACATCAGGCTACATTTATATTTATATCTATATCTATATAATGAAGTCTGGTGGAAGAAGCCAATGTTGAGATGTTCCATAGGCATCTCAAACTCAACATGTCTAAAACAGAACTCAATAGCTCTGTCGTCCAAAAAACCTCTCCCTTCTTCCAAACTTCAATGTGGAAGAGACCACCATCCCTCTAGTTACCCACATTTGCAACCTTGGTATCATCCTCAACTTTTATTTCTCATTCACCATTCATAGTTAAGCAGTTGACAAAACCTTGTCATTTCCTTCTCTAAAGCATCTCAAAGCATCTCTCTCTACCCCTATAGCCACTACCTTAATTCAGGTCCTCATCACCTTTCTCCTGGAATGCTGTGATGGTCTTCTAGCCAGTTTCCCTGTCTCAAGTCTCTCCTCATTCCAATACAGCCTCAGTTGCCAAAGTAATCTTCACGTGTACCCCCCATTCTTCAGCCTCAGCCAACACACACAAACTTAATAAACTCGAGTGGTTCCAGAATCAAATATAAAGTCCTATGTTTGACAGCAAAAACTCTTTATAACTTGGCTCCTTCCTATCTTTCTAATCTTTTTATATTCTACTCCCCCTCCACACACTCTTCAATCCAGTCACATTGACCAAGGCCATTTCCTCCCTCAAAACACTTCATCTTCCATCTCTAAGCTTTGTACTGGCTATTCCCGATGCCTGAAATGGTCTCCTGACTTAGCCTCTAACTCTGAGGATCCCTGGCTTCCCTTAAGATTCAGCTTCAGGGCTCCTTCCTCCAGGAGGGAGTCTGTCCTGGTCCCTGTAGGTGCTAGGGCCATCCCCTCAACAGTTAACTCCCTTCTATCCTGGATTTGTCTTCTCTGTTCTAATTTATTTATGTTGTCTCCCCCATTAGAATATGAACTCTGTGCAAGAAGGGATTGTTTTTCTTTTTCTTTGCACAGTAAGCCTTAATAAATGCTTGTTAATTGATTGATTGAACTAGGGATAGCTAGCCTGGGGGAAGAATGAGGGGATATGACACGTGATGACTGTCTAAGTCTAAGAAGTCTAAGAAGAGTCAGATTGTTTTGCTTGGCCTCAAAGGGCAGACTGAGGTACAGTGGGTAGAGATGTAGAGTAAATGAATTGAGGTTTGGTGTCAGAAAAAACCCAAGCAGCTTCTCAACAATTAGAGCTATCCAAAAGTGGAAGGCACTGGATTCCTTCTCACCAGAGATCCTTGTGCAAAGGGTCTGGCCACCATTTCTTGGGTTTGCTGTCGAGGAGATTTTTGTTTAGGTATGGGTTGGACTTGATGACATCTAAGGTCAGCCCTGAGATGCTATGATTTGGTGACATGACGCTTTTAAGACTCACAAAATACTTTACTTACATAATCTCATTTGACCCTCACAACTAACCCATGAGGTAGGTAGGGCAAATATTTTCTTGCCATTTTATAGATGAGAAAACTGAGGTGGAGAGAGGAATTGATTGGCATCATTTCACACAGCTTGTCAGTCAGTCAACTAGCATTTTTTAAGCATATACTGTGTGCTAAGTGCTGGGGATACAAAGAAAGGCAAAAGACAGTCCCTGCTCTCAAGATGGTCTGGGGAAGGACAGAAAACATGCGAGCAGTCATGTACAGGCAAGAACTATATAGAGTTAGTTGGAGATAATCTCAGAGGGCACACACCACGACTGAGGAGGCCTGGGGAAGGCTTCTTGCAGAAGGTGAGATCTGAGTTGAGACTTAGAGGTAGCCAGGGAAGACAGGAGGGAGATGAGGAGGAAGAGTATTCCAGATATGGAGGACAGCCAGGAAAAACACTCAGAGTTAGGAGATGGAACCTCTTGTTCAGGAACCGACAAGAAGACCAGTCTCATTGGACTGGAGTGGAGAGGAGGAAAGTGTAAGGTAGGAGAGTGTAATAGTAACAGTAAGTGTAACAGTAGGAGAGGGCCAAGTTTTGAAGGGCTTTAAAAACCAAAGAATTTTATATTTAATCTTAAAGGCAACAGGGAGCTATAGGGGGCAGCAGGGGCAGCTGGGTGGCGCCATAGTGCATAGAGTGCTGGACCTGAAGTCAAAGAAGACTCATCTTCATGAGTTCAAATCTGGACTCAGTGACTTACTAGCTGTGTGACTCTGGGCAAGTCACTTAACCCATTTGCCTCAGTTTCCTCATCTGTAAAATGAGTTGGAGGAGGAAACGGCAAACCACTCCAGTAACTTTACAAAGAAAACCCCAGACATGACCCTTGAAGGAAGATCTGGCTGAGGTTAGCTCATGCTGAAATGGTCTCCCCATTACTCCTTGTCTATCCAAGTCCTATTCATCCCTGAAGGCTCAATGAAAGTCCTATCTCTTTTCTAGATTCTAGTCCTCAATGGTCCCCTCCTTCTTTAAGGTTCTAAAGCACTTGGGGCCCTAGATTGATAGTATACTAGCCCCGAAAAGTACCTTAAGAATACAATCTCCTCAGTTTATAGAGGAAGATGAGGTCTAGTGAAGTGAAATGACTTTGTCCAAGATCACACAGCTAGTGAACTGGGTAACCCATTACCCATCACTGTTTCTGAATAGCATTCCATAGGTATCTCTTTTTCCCAACTAGATGGTGAATTCTTGGTGGGCAGAATCACCTTGATTGGATGATTGCCTTGCCACAGCAAACATTCAATAAAGTTTGCAGAACTGAATTGAATAGTAAGCACTTAAGACATCCTTGTTTATTAAGAATCTATGATGAAATACCAGGAGAATAATATCATGGAAACCAAGCGAAGAGATTTTTGAGAAAGAGAGGTGTGAGGCCAGAGGGAAAGCATAGTGGAAAGGCCAAGAAGGGAGAGAAATGGGGAAGAGACTGCAGACTTTGGCCAAGAATGGGTTACTGATATTCTTGAGAGAGGAATGAAAAGGCTTTCTTCCTTTGGTTGCTAGGATAGGGATGGGCAGAGAAAGTGCCCTCAGTAAAGATTTGCTGAATACTAAATGAATGAGGACTCTGGGCCTTAAGGAAGGGGGCAGAGAATGACAGAATCTGAGATTCAGAAGGGATCTCAGAGACCATCTAGGTCCACAGTTGAGCAAGAATCCATTTTGCCAAATACTCAACAAATGATCATCCAATCTTTGCTTGAAGATTTCTAGGGAGGGGGAACTCACTGCTCACCAAGGACGCTACTTCCACTTCTGAACACCTCTAAACAGGAGGAAGTTTTTCTTTTCACCAAGTCTAAATCTGTCTCTCATTTCCACCCATTGTTATTAGTTTTGTCCTCTGTGGTTAAGCAGCACATGTGAAGTCCCTCCAAATATTTAAAGGTAGCTATCACGTCTCCTCAAAGACTTCTTTCCTTTAGAATGAACATCCCTTGTTCCTTCCACTGATTTATTCATTCAAAAAGCATCTAAATGTCTACTATAGGCCCTATGCTGGGGGATGGAGAAAAAGAAGAAAAAGAAAAAGAAAGAGGGAGAAAGGAATGAAGGAGGGAAGAAAAAGAGAAAGAGAGAAAAAGGAAGGAAAGAAGAAAGAAAGAAAGGAAAAAAAGAAAGAAAAAAAAAGAAAGGGAAAAAAAGAACAGCCTCTGCCTTTGAGGAGCTTTCTTTTCCCTTGGAACCTCATATGCTGTGATCCTGAGGCCCTCTACTACCCTAGTCACCTCCTCTGGACACCCTCTGAATCCTTCCCAATATATGGTTGCCAGAACTGGTTACAATCCTCCAAGGGAAAAGTGGAAAGGCACCAAGGACAAACTTGACTCCCTCAGTTTTCTAAGAGTCTTCCTTGACTGTGGGGTCTGTGGGAAAAAAATGGAGACAATGTTTCTGCTTCTCACTTCACAGCCTAGCTCAGCCAAGGTCTGTCACCCTGTTGATTTTCTCCAATTTACTGAGTGTATCTTGTTTGTACACAGTTGTTTTCATACTCTCTCCCCAATTAGACTGTGAGCTCCTTGAGAGCAGGGACTCTCCTCTGCCTTCCTTTGCACCTCCAGTGCTTAGCATAGTGCTTGGCACGTAGTAGGTGCTTAATAAATGTTTACTGACTGACTGTCCTAGGACCCATGCTAGCAGAAGAGATTGGATGTTCCCTGGTTGTGTCTCATTCTTGTGTCTTGGTCATGGGTTTCCTTAGGTAATAGAGAGGACAGAACATTGGACTTGGACTCAAGAAGACCTGAAATAAAATCCCGCTCAGATGATACGATGAAATACCTGGAAAATCCTAGAAATTCAACTAAAAAGCCATTTGAAACAATAATTTTAGCAACTTGGGGTATCCCTTAAGATTTCTTCTTGCAGGATTTTGCTGGTGGTGTAAAGAAATGCTGATGATTTATGTGGGTGTATTTTATATCCTGCTACTTTGCTAAAATGTGACCCTGGGCAAGTCACTTAACCTTTCTCAACCACAATTTCTTCATCTGTAAAATGGGGATACTTTAAAGGGTTGTTATGAGGATAAAACGAGATCATACATGCAAAGTGCTTGGCAAACCTTAAAGAGCTACATAAATGTTAGCAATGCTAACTATTCCGTTTCCCCCTCACCCATGGCTGAAGTACCCAGCCAGGTCCAGGTCCCCCCACCTTGTTCTTCTCAAAGAGCTCGGCCTGGATGGCCTTGAGGTCCGAGTCCAGGGCGCTGGCCGTCTGGCGCCGCTTTCGGGCCAGCACCTCCTCTAGGTCCTCAATCTGGGCTCGAAGTTTCTTGTTCTCCCTCTCCAGGTTGAGCTTCTCTGTCTCGAGCCGCTCTCGCCGGCCCCACTCGGCGGCATTCTCTGCCTGCAGACGCTCCATCTGGGGGGGAAGCAAAGTTGGGGGAGAGTCCAAGGGGACCTACTCTGCAGGGGGAAGACGGAAGAACCCCAGCTGGGCTCCCCCAGCTTCCAATCCTGCTGAGCCATTTCTGGCTAAAGGAAGTAAGTCCAGCTGCATCAGCTATAATTAGCCTGTGTTTGTTTGTATGTTTGTGCTGTATGTGTCCTATGTCTTCCTCACATGTGCATGTCCTCCCCAAACAGGCTGGGGGCTTCCTGAGGGCTGAGGCTCCCTATTACACGGAGGGCTTCCTAACGAATAAAGCCTTATTATTAGAAGATCTCCAAAGAAAGGGAACTCTGTATTTGTATGGGTATGTGTCTCTGTGTGTGTGTGTGTGTATAAATACATATATATGTGTGTATTAATATATATTATATATAACACATACATGCATGTATTAATATACACTTACGCATATAAACATACATGTGCACGCACGCGTGCACACACACACACACACCACTATACGTGTGTACATGTACAGGCACACAATACATGTATGTGCCTATTCGACATACGCACACACACACACACACACACACACACACACACACACACACACACACACACACACACAACACACACACCATATATATATATACCTCTATATAACACTTATCTCCCTAACCAAACTGGAACCACTTTGAGTGCACAAAAAGGGTCTTGGCCACCTTTATGTTTCTTCCAGCACTGAACACAGGATCTTCTCATGGCAAACGCTCACAGAATGTTGGTGGATACTGGTATGCCCTCCATCAGAATGGAGGCTCCCTAAGAATGGGAATTATACCTCCTTTTGCCTTGCCTCTCTCCATGTTGTGCCTGCCTATAGTAGAAACCCTATTAATGATAATCACCTGTCTGGCCAAAGTGGAAGACCAGGGTCCTGGAAACTCCTCAGACCCATGGCTGAGCCTGGTGGCTGGGCCTCTGAATCCCTCCAGCCCTTCTTGTTCCCTCCATCTTACCTCACTTCGAAGTTCTGCTATCTTTTTGTCCATGCTGGACCGAGCCCCAAGTTCATCTTCCAGGTCCTCTGACATGCGGCCCAGTTCATCCTGGTGCATTTCTTTAAGGATGTTGAGCTGTGGAGACAACACCAATTTCCCCACCCCATGTGTCTGGGTCACCAGAGAATCCAGAAGGCAAGGACAGAGCTGCACAGTTTGGGGCAGAGGGGCAAAGCGTAGAACACAGACAGAATGGGAGCCACAGACTGACTGTTGGAAGGGACTCTAGAACATACAGTGTTAGAGTAGGGATGCCCTTAGAGCTGGTGTGGACCTTGGAGGTCATGTGGCCCACCCACAGAGGATCGATAAAGGAGCTGTGCCACTGTGTTGGAATAAACAGAGGGAACAGGGAAAGCTCCTAGGGGAGAAAGCCATCTAACCCTTCTGGGCCTCAGTTTTCTCCTCTGAAAAATAGGTTAGGGGCAGCTAGGTGGCACAGTGGATAGAGCACTGGCTCTGGATCCAGGAGGACCTGAGTTCAAATCTGGCCTCAGACATGTAACACTTACTAGCTGTGTGACCCTGGGCAAGTCACTTAACTCCACTGCTTAGCCAAAAAAAAAAAAAGAAAAATGGGTTAGAGGGGGTTAGACTTGAGAACTTCTAAAGTCCTTTCCAGCTTTAAATATGTGATTCTGTGATCGACAAATGACTTGCCCAAAGTTGCACAAACTTAGTATATAGTCTTAGACTAGGGGTTAGATATCTGGATTCCAGCCCTGGCTCTTCTACTAAGTTTGTGCGACTTTGGGCAAGTCATTTGTCGATCACAGAATCATGTATTTAAAGCTGGAAAGGACTTTAGAAGTTCTCAAGTCTAACCCCCTCTAATCCATTTTTCAGAGGAGAAAACTGAGGTCCTGAAGGGTTAGATGGCTTTCCTAAAGTCATACAGCTAGTAATTGTATAAGGCAGGACTTGAACCCAGGTCTTTCTGATTCCACGTCTACCATTCTGTTTACTACACCACATTCTCTATTGATTCAGCAAATGTTGCCTACTTGTATAGAGCACTGTGTTAGTGGAGATAAAAAATTTAATTAAGACTTAGTCCCTGCCCTGATAGATCTTAGAGCCAAAAAGGAGAATGAGACAGACACATGTAAGTATAATTCATAATATTCTATGATAACTGCATTAGGAAGGTGCAAAAACAAAATACTATGTGAAGTCTGAAGGTGAAGGGTGAGACTTCCCTGAAATCAGGAAAGCTTCAGGAAGCAGCTGGCATTTGAGCCTGGCATTAAAGGATGGATAAGAATTCAAAAGGTGAAGTGGAGGTCATTCTTAGTACAGGGAACTGTATGAGCAAAGGCACGGAGGCAGGAAGGAGCAGATTCTTTGGGAGCAGACAGCAGGCACTTTGGCCAAAGCATAGGGTGTATGGAGGGGAGTAATATAAGATAAGGCTAGAGAGGTGGGGTGGCATTTGATTACAGAGGGCCTTGAATCCCAGACAAATGAGTTAGCACTTTACTCAAGAAGCAAGAGAGAGCCAATGAAGATTTTTCAGCAGAGGAGGGATATGGCCAGATCTATGCATTAAAAAAAAATGGCAGTTAAGTAGGATGGAAGGGTGAAAGGTTGAGAGAAGGGGAAGAAGAAAGTTGAGGTAGAAAAAAACCTGTTTGGAGGATACTGTAATACTTCAGGTGGGTGGTAATGAAGGCTTGTACTAGACTGATAACAGTAGTGATAGAAGAAAGGAACTGGTGTAAGAGATGGGATCAGTAGGATTTTAACATCATAACTATTTGAATAGAAGTCAGCCAAAGAGAAGAGTCCACTATAACACCAAGATTTCAAACAAGAGATATAGGATGAATGGTGGTGTTACAGATAGAAATTGTGTAGTCAGAAGAAGGAGCAGATTTAGGTAAATGATAATAGCTTAGTTTTAGACGTGGTGAGTAAGAGGTGGGACACTCTGATAGGGATATTTTACTGGCAATTACAGATATGGGCTTGGACTTCAGAAGGTAAATTAGAACTAGAAAGGTTTGGGATTCATGGGCTCAGGAGTGGTAATGGGAGTAACTGGAGTAACTGAGATGGCCAAGGGAGAGAAAGGGCAGGGATACATAAAGCCCAGAAGAGTCTTCCTGGGGACCCACTTTAAAGGGTCAGGAAAAGGATGAGGAAACAGCAAAAGAATCAGAAGGAATAGTTAGAGGAAGGAGGAAACAAGCAAGCATGTTGTCTCTGAAGCAACACGAGGGGAGGTGTCCAGAAGGAAGAAGTTGTCAGTAGAGGTAAAAGTCCCAGACAGGTCAAGGAGAATGAAGAAAGATAAAAGGCCAATGAATTTGGTGATTAGGTCACAGGTGACCTTGGAGAAAACAGTTTCAGTACAATGGTGAAGAAGGCAGATTGCAAAGGGTTGTGGGGAGGGTAGTAATAACAAGATCAAAGTATAGGGCAGCTAGGTGGTGCAGTAGATAGACCACTGGCCCTAAAGTCAGGAGGACATGAGCTCAAATCCGGCCGCAGACCAAACACTTGACCAACACTAGCTGTGTGACTTTGGGCAAGTTACTTAACCCTGATTACCTCACTAAAAAAAAAAAAAAGATAGCAGCAGGTCAAGATAGCTTTTTTATTTTTTGGCTAGGCAATGGGGTTAAAGTGACTTGCCCAAGGTCACAAAGCTAGTAAGTGTCAAGTGAGGCTGGATTTAAACTCTGGTCCTCCTGACTCCAGGGCTGGTGCTCTATCTGCTGCACCACCTAGCTGCCCCCTCAAGATAGCTTTTTCCAAGAAGTCTTACAGTGAAAGAGAAGAGAAAAATGGGATGGTAGCTGGATGGAATTAAAGGATCAAGGGAAGGTTAAAAAGAAAAAAAAGAGCTACTGATAAGACCTGAGTCTGTTCTTAGGCATAGAGGCAGAAGTCATAGGGAATAATACCTGAAGTGGAAGAGAACAGGATCAAAGGGACAGGTAGCCCTGGTGACCCCTAGGGACAGCTCTTCTTTGATGACCAAGAGGAAGGCAAAGAAAGCTCATGAAGATGCTAAGAAGTTTGAAGAGATGGGATAAAGGAGAGCACTGAGGGAGCTCATCTTGGATGGTTTCAGTGCTCTCAAGGAGGTAAGGAGGAAGCAGCTAGTCTGTTTGAAGCCAGGTTGGGGAGTAGGGTGAAGGAAACAAGAAAGTTGCTTCCTTGTCCCAGGGTCTCTCCACCTACAAAATCAGGAGGCTGGACCACATGATTTCCAGTCTTCTCCAGCTTTTAATATTTCTTACTGGTTTTCTATATTCCTGTGCCAGACTTTTTTCTCCTGGGCTGACAGCCCCCTCTGGTGGACACAGATAAGCCTACATGAGAGACCAAGAGTTCTGTCTTCACTTCCCTAAACTAAGAGGATAAAGGAAGGCTGGTGCACAGAAGAAAGGAGCCAGGAAGACTAGCAGAGGGTAGGAGAGGGTCTCACCTGCTTCAGCACTTCCTGCTTGTTTTTGCTTAGCTCCTCATATTTGATCTTCCACTGGCTGAGCTCCCCTTCCAGTTTTTCAATGTTCTTGCTCAGTGACAGCTTATCCCTGGGGGTTTAGGGGTGGGTGGGTAGGTGGGGAAGGCCTGGTTAGCCTTTGGGGTGCCTGGCTCTCCCTGTTCTATCCCCTAGGGATTTCCATGCAGTGTTCCCACTGGAGGTTGGATTTCTCGGTTCCCTCCTGGAAATGTTGTTAGTTATTGAAGGGAGTGGTCAAAGGTCCTATTGGGGAAGCAGTGGCTTCATGTCCCTTCTCTCCTTTAAAATACAAAAGAAGACCCACCATCTCCGGGCAGCCTCCCCACTGCTATCCCCTACTCTGTGCCTCATCAACATTACTAGACTTGGTTTGTACATCCCTCTGGGCTCATCCGAATACTGGCATATATTGCTCCACCCCATTCTGCCTCCCTGCCTTCGTTCAGTGCTGGGAGTTTTCTCCTGGCAAGGCACATCCCATTCCACCATCCTGTTTTCCACATTATAATGAAAGGTCTGACATTGCCTTCTAGGCTGGGTCCCAGTTTCTCACTCTCTCTGTGGCTGCTGCAATCCTCTGGCCATTGTGCTGGTCAGCTGGCCAAAACGGAAATTCAAGTGCAGCCAGAGTAGGGCCCACCAGCTGCCCATACTCACTCTCGTTCCTTGAGCAGCACCTTCTGGGACTCATCCAGCCGAAGCTTCAGGGCAGTCACCTTGGTGACATCCTCCTCGATGGTGGACACCTCCTCCCACAGCAGTCGGCTTCGCTCCTGCCGGCTGAAGGTAGCACGGACACTCCCCATGCTTCGTGCCTCCCAGTTCTCAGGCCCCTCTTGCTTACTCTTCAGAAGGTTCTCCATCAGTTCCAGCTCCTGTGAAGAGCACCCCCAGGTCAGGGCATTACTCAGCGGGCCTCATCACTTTGGGTTTAGAGTGAACACTAATCCTAGCGTAGAGGGAAATCTTTGGATCAGAGTCAGGAAACTCAGGCTCTAGTCTTGATTCTGCCACTTACTAGGCCAGGGGACTTGGGAGATGTGGCTTCAAATCTCTGGGTCTCAGTTTCCCCATCTGTTGCCTATGCATTCATGGTCCCATAGGACACAGTGATGGAAATGGAATTTAGGGTATTACAGCTGGAAGGAAACTTGAGAGATCCGGCCTTTGTATTTTACAGAAGACTAAACTGGGCAGCTAGGTGGCAAAAGAGATAGAGTGCCAGGCCTGGAGTCAGGAAGGCTCATCTTAATGAGTTCAAATCCAGTCTCAGATACTTAGTATCTGTGTGAGCCTGGGAAAGTCACATAATCCTGTTTGCCTCAGTTTTTTCATCTGTAAAATGAACTGGAGAAGGAAATGGCAAATCACTCCACTATCTTTGCAAAGAAAACCCCCAAAAGGGCCATGAAGAATTGGACATGACTGAAAACGACGAGATCAAAAACTGAAAAGAAAGGATAACCAAGGTGAAATGACATGTGCAAAGTCACATTGCCGGCTGGTTCTAATCAGAAATTAGAAGCTAGGTCTAGGGCAGTGTTCCTTTCACTACTAGCACCTATTTCTCTGTTTCTAGTAGGGCTCAGCATTGTTAGGCACACAGCTAGTGCACAATTAGGTGATCTGGGGTCTTATTACTCAACTGATCACAGGTTTTCCTAGACAATGTCATAGATCTACAGAGTGCCCCTCCTGTCCCTCAAATTCCCCCAACACTCAAGTTGTGGTCTCTCAAGCACTTCGCAAAAGTGGAACAAATCACTGGCCCCAAGGAAGTAATTGTGAATCTCAAGCCACTCTTGGGGAGCTGTGGGCAAGTCACCAGAGGGCCCACTATCCATCCTGGTTCTCTCCAGTGACCAGGCCTTACTGCTGGTGGTGGGGATCTGGCTTCTGGCTTAGAGGAAGGAGGCAGAGGGAATCTCCTGGCCTTTGTACAAGCTACAGGAGCTGAATCCAGATTAGGGGAAAGGACTCCTGCCTACCTCACCACTTTCAGGGACACTGCCTGAAGTGGCTTTACTACAGTGCATTGAGGTATGAGCCTCGAGCCCCTAAGTCCTGGGATGATGTGCCCTGTGGCCTGACTACAGGGGTGAGCCCAGCTGGTTTGCAGAAAGGAAGGCAACCCTTCTGTGCATGGAATGGGGGAATGCTCTTCTTTCCCCACCCACCCAGCTTGCTTACCTTATTTTTGGCTGGCTTTTCAAAGCCTACATCCCGCACGGGCTCCTGCTCGAGGCCAACCCCCTGACTCTCCTTCTCTGAGGCCATCCTGTTGTCCAGCTCCTTCTCCTTGCCCCTGCCTTTCTCCTCCTCACGAGCCTCCTCTCCCTCCTGGTGGTTCTCCTCCTCTTCCTCCTCCTGTAGCCGGGCCCCCTTAAGTCGAGCCACCTCCTTGCCCAGCTGTTCACTCTGGTTCAGGGCCTCCTGCCGCTCCCGCCGGGCCCCCGTCAGCTCTTTAGTCAAGGCCTCCAGCTTCTGCCGAAGTTGGCGCACCTCTTCCCGTGCCTTGTTGCGTTCAGCTCTCACCTTGCTCCACTTCTCCCTCCAATTGGCTGTGCAGTCTGACCACCAGCGCATGGTCTTCTCCATCTGGGCCGCCCGGGCCCGGGCCTCCTCTAGTTCTCGAAGGCGTAGCTCTTCCCGGCTCTCCCAGTCACCATCCAGCCCTGGGGACCCACTAGGCAACAGGGGCAGTGGGGGGGGCCCGGGAGATGGAGTCCCGCTCTGTGGGGTGGGTGGCAGAGAGTCAGCTAGGCCCATCCGCTCAGGTGAAGGGCTGCCCAAGATGTTCAAGAGGCTGCTCTTGGAGAGCTGTGGAGAATCAGCCAGCCTGGAGCTGGTACTGTGACTCATGGCGCATGTGCCAAAGAGCAGGACTCACACTCTGGACTTGGCTGGTGGCACCAGGGCAGACTTGAATCAGAGCATCGACTCAGCTGGTTCTGGGAACAGCAGTGCTTGACTCAGGAAGCAGGGTGGGGTGGACCTCTGGCTGATCATCGTGACCCTTACAGGGGTCCTGCAGGCTGCATATCTGGTTGGAGTCCTGTCCCTGTATGGTGACTGATGGCAGCAGCTGGTCATGCCCTCACCGTCCAGTTGGGAAAGGCCACTTGACTCCTTCACAGAGGCGTTCTCAGATGCTGGGACAGAAAACAAAAACAAAAATAATATAGGCACCCTGCATTTATATCGTGGTGAAAAAAAAAAGGAAACAGACTTCATAAAGCATTCCAAATAATGCCATCTGTGAGATAGGTAGGGAAGGCATTATTATCCTCATTTAACAGATTAAAAAAAATACACTGAGGTTCAGAGAGCTTAAGACATTTGCACAAGGTCACACAACAAATCAGAACAGCGTTAGAACCTAGGTCTTCTGGTTCTCATGACATAATTTTCCACCAGCTCACACTGGCCTGAATAGTGGGACCATCATTCAGCTCAGTGGCTGCATGGTACCATGGAAAGGTCACAGATTCAGTAGACTTGGCTTCAAACTCCACCTCGGATGCCTTCTACCATGGGTAAGTGACAATGTCTGTGGGCCTCTACTTCCTTCTCTGTGGAAGGGGCTGGAGTAGATGGCTTCTGAGGTCCCTTTCAGCTCTAGAGCTGTGATTGCAAGAATTAGACACTTCAGAGAAGGGTCTCAGGCTGGGGATTTTTGCTTTTCTGGTGCTCGTCCCTCTCTCTTCCTCTCCTCCTTCCCCCTCTCATTTCTCTCCCTCTCCCCCTCGGGAAACTATTTTACTTCTCTCTGTGGCTCCTCCCTTCCCCAGTCCAGAAATCTCAGCCCTGCCCCAGGGTATCCTGGGGAACCCTCCCCCTCATCCCTATCCTTGGACTTATGCTCCTCCCACAACACCAGTTGGTATGCAGTCCCTCCAGCCCAAGGCTCTGCCTCTGTTGGGCACTGGGGCCTAAATCCTGTTCTGGAAGACCAGGATTACTCTCCTTGGTGCCACTTCCACAAGTCAGGTATCCACAGGGACCATGACACTTCAAGCTTTCCTAAATAACCTGCCATAGCTCTGCCCTCTTGGAGTTCACCCAAGCACTTCTAGAACTTTCTTGTGCCTCCAGCTTTGGCTCATTCTCAGGGGATTTTCTTCCCTAAATTTACTCCACACTGTGTGAAGCAGGATTTGGCCTGAAACATTTCCCTCCAAGCTTCAAGGGGCTGCCCTACTCCTAGCATCCAGGGCTTGGTGACTAGGTCTGGGCCCTTGCTTCTCATCTCTATCTGCCTTCTTGGCTTTTATATGCTTGAATCCTTCATTGTTCAGTTGGACAAGGGAAAGAATACTGGACTTGGAGTTAGAGGACCTGGATTTGAACAGTGGCAATGCTACTTATTCTTCCCTACTACTGCAGAAGACAATGCCATCCTTAGGGTCCTCAGGCTTGCAGCCTAGGGGTCATCCTTGACTCCTTGCTATCTCTCACCTCTCATATCTAATCTGTTGCTGAGGCCTGTCAATTTTACCTTTGCAACATCTCTCAAGTGAGCCTTCTCTTCTCCTCTGACACTGTCCCTACTCTAGTGCAGCCCTTACCACCTCACACCTGGACTACTGCAATAGCCTGCTGGTGTGTCTGCCTGCCTCAAGTCTCCCCCCACTCCAATCCATCTTCCAATCAGCCACCAGAGTGACTTTCTTAAAGCTCAGGTTCAACCACACTACCCTTCCTCACCCTACCCCCACTCAATACATTCCAGTGGTTCTCTATCACTTCTAGGATCAAACCCAAAATCCTCTCTTTAGCATTTAAAGTCCTTCATAACCTAGCTCCCCCCTGCTACCTTTGTACCTTTTTTTTTACACATTGTACCCCCACATACCCTTTGACCCAGCGACACTGGCTTCCTCGCTGTTTCAAGAACAAGACACTCCATTTCTTGGCTCTGGAATTTCTCTTTGACCATCCCCCATGCCTGGTATGCTCACCCTCCTCATCTCTGCCTATGAGCTTCCCTGGCCTCCTTCAAAACTAAGATCCTACTTCTACAGGAAGCTTTCCCAAACTCTCTTAATTCTAATGCCTTTCCTTCATTAATTATTTCCTACTTATTTTGTATATAGCTTGTTTGAATATCTATGTTTGCTTACTATCTCACCTATGAGAGTGTAAGTTTCTTGAGGGCGGGGACTCTTTGTACTCCCAGGGCTCAGCACAGCCCCTGGCACAGAGAAGACATTTAATAAATGCTTGACTGACTACTTACTATTTAACTTTAGGAAGCCACTTCAACTTTAGGGGCCTCAGTTTTCTCACTTGTAAAATAAGATGGTTGGAATAGATGGCTTTATATGTCCTTTGAAGCTCTAAATTCTAGGATTCTTAGCCTAAAAAGGCTCTATACTTTCAAGAAATATGTCAGTAATTATTATGCTATGTATTAAGCTACCTACTATGTGCAAGGCACTGGGAATAGAAAAATAAGAACACAGTCCTGGCTTGCCCTCAAGGAACTTACATTCTCCTGGAGGTGAGGGAGATAATATATGTACTCAGATGATACAGTGTGATGGGGGCAAAGGAGAGATCCAAAGTGCTCTAGAAAAAGTTGTCTTGTCCATGCAAGCTCTGACTTTGTACTCACTTGAAATGCCCCTCTGGGCTCCTGGATTCTACCTCTCTAGGTCCTGCCTCAGCTTCTTCCTACTCTCATAGTCACCCCAGATTTGTCCTTCCTACACAAGCCACATGCCTTAAGCCTGCATACCCAGCACACACTGATCCAAGATATAGAACATCTCTGCCATCTTGGCCCAAATGGATGCCTGCCAATTTTACCTTACTGTCTGGAGGGGACACTGAGACAGAAGACGGATAGACAGGCAAGGAGACAGAGACTCCCTGGGTCTCTAGGGTGCAGAGGGGAGGGGAAATCAAGTCAAATGCCAATGGAACCCAAGAGTCCTGGCTCCCACACTTCTGGTTTGAGGGTGTGTGTGTGTGTGTGTGTGTATGTGTGTGCGCACGCATGTGTGTGCACGCGTGTGTGTGTGTGTAGCAGAGGCTAAACTGAGGTCCAGAAGTACATATTGAAGACTAGCAGCCGGCACAATCCCATACCCAAATTTTTCCTGGAAAATTTCCCTGACCACTTTATTCACTTTGCTCACACTGCACAAGAAGCTGCAGTGTAGGGGAAAGAGCTCTAGGACAGAAATATCAAACATGCCACTAGACCAGATTAAAATATAATTGTAATGAAATTAAATTTACATTAAATCGTAATTTAATAAAATAAATAAAATACAATAGAACATAATGTTCATATGTGGTTTTCTAAGTCAATATGTGGCCTGAATATTGATCTACCCTTGGATACTACCTTCAGGTACTTTAAGTACATGTCTTTAGGTACTTTTTAGTGGCACCCCTTTCCATCCATTTGACACCACTGCTCTAGGCTCATGATCAGAGGGCCTGGGTTTGAATCTTGGCTCAGTGACTTATTCCCTGTGTGACCCTAGCTAAGTCATTTTCCCCCTTTGGATCTCAGTTTACTCCTGTATAAAATGAGAAAGTTGGACTAGAGCACCTCTAAGGTCCCTTCCAGCTCCAAATCTATGATCCACTGCCCTCCCACGTTCATGGAATCTACATCAAGCCTTGGGAAGTCAAGCAGCAGCTAAGCTTCCCCACCCCCACCAGCGGTTAGATCTCCCCCAGATGGGAATTGCAGTCATTCAGGGGTTGGGAAAAAGGAGGGTTCTATGCCAGACAGAGGGTGTCTGGATTTCTGGCCAACATCCTGCCATTGTCTTCCCCTACCTCCCTGTTACCACACACACACACACACACACACCCCAAGGCCTACATATCAAGGGTGCCACATATACATACATGTACATATACACAATACCTGACAAAAATCACATCCATAGACAAAACCCCACACATAGAGACATACAGAAGTGCAGTAGCTGTACTCACATAGTTGCAAACATACACACAACTGCATGGGCATAATTAGTTATACATGTACCATACACATGATCATACAGTGCTGTTGTATACACATTAATCCTTCTCCTTGCATTTCTGGAGCAGCTCCATACGGGAAGAATTCTTAGGAAAGAAAAAATACTTTGGAAAGCTCAGAAAGCAGGAAACCAGAGAGGCTCCCAGTGAGCCAAGCGGTCTGCACTGAGACAGCGTCTGCTCTCAGCCAGGCCTAGTGGCTCCTGGAGATGGGGTTCCTCTCCTCCCCTCCTCTACCCCAACCCCTTCCTCCTGCCAGGACCAGACCCTAAATTCAGAGAACAACAAAGCAGGGAAGACATTCCTGTGGTCAGGATGGGGGAGGCAGAGGCAGGGTTAGGGTCCGCCTGGAGAGCTGCCGAGAGAGAGATGTGAGCCTAAAGCCACATCCTCCTCCCTACTTTGCTCCACGGCTGGCCCAGGCAATGTGGCTGGGTCCCAGCATTTCCAGCCGAGCGATCCAGGGGCTCCGCTAGTGTTAGAGGTTGGGAGTTAGGAGGGGGGAAGGTGAGGATCTGCCTTTCTCTCTAGCTCCTTCTGTGATCTTTCCAGGAAACTCCCCAACATAACAGAGTGGGGGGCAGGGAGAACAAGGAGAATAAGCCACCCGCTGCTCACTAATGCACTACAGATTTGCCCACATGAAAGACCAAGGCTAGACATCTGACGGACAAAGGAGGTAGAGGGAGGGAGATGGGGAGTCACTAGAGGCTTCCACCAATTTTCCACTCAGCCATTCACACCCTCACAGCCAAACCTCACACAGCTCACTGTGAGGAAGGATGAGGCTATTCTCCAGCCTACGTCCCCAAACCCCTTTAGATCCCTATAGATCTAGAATTGGAAGAGATTCATTCATTTTATAGATGAGAAAATTGTGGCCCCAAAAGATTAAGCAATTTGCCCAGGATCTCATAAGTCATGACCAAAACAAGGTACAAACCCAGGTCCTCTGACTCCAAAGCCATGTCCATGGTACAAAGTTGCTTCTCAAAATTCAGTGAAAGCTGAAACACATCACAGCTCCACTATATGTAAAGCACCATGATAGTGGGAGATACTAGTTTAGATACGTCCTCAAGAAGTCTACAGTCTAGTAGGGAAGTGGCTAAGACAATAATATAGATAATTATAATATACTTTA